TGTGTGTTTTTAAATGTTCCCTGCGGCCACACAGCATCTGTGGGGAATGGCTTCTAAAAGCAAACACACAAAAAGGGAGAGGCCAAATGGGTTCAGATTGGCCCTGCAGGGGCAGGTGGGGCTCTGGTTTCCCCCACAAGCTGTTTTCTTTAGCAAAAACCATGCTGGAGAGGGGTTGTTTTTGCTGTGCCATGAGTCTCTGTACCTATGGAGCAGGAAAACTAGTGAAATAACTACACCCCAGCAGGGTTTTCACCCAAAAATACCATTTGGGGCAGAGGCGGGAGTTGTGCCTCCCCCCACGGGAACCATTCTGAGCCCATTTGGACTCTCTCTTTTAGAAGCAGTTCCATGCAGCTGCTGTGTGTATATGTATATGAGCAAGATAATATTGTGAGGTATTTAAGAGGAAAGAAAAACTGTATGCAAGAAATGTTTGTACAACAATGGTATCCTTTTCTTAATAATGGCTGCGGTCACACGCAACATTAGCCACGCAAGCCTCCAATTGGTTATGTGTGTTTTTAAATGTTCCCTGCGGCCACACAGCATCTGTGGGGAATGGCTTCTAAAAGCAAACACACAAAAAGGGAGAGGCCAAATGGGTTCAGATTGGCCCTGCAGGGGCAGGTGGGGCTCTGGTTTCCCCCACAAGCTGTTTTCTTTAGCAAAAACCATGCTGGAGAGGGGTTGTTTTTGCTGTGCCATGAGTCTCTGTACCTATGGAGCAGGAAAACTAGTGAAATAATTACACCCCAGTAGGGTTTTCACCCAAAAATACCATTTGAGGCAGAGGCGGGAGTTGTGCCTCCCCCCACGGGAACCATTCTGAGCCCATTTGGACTCTCTCTTTTAGAAGCAGTTCCATGCAGCTGCTGTGTGTATATGTATATGAGCAAGATAATATTGTGAGGTATTTAAGAGGAAAGAAAAACTGTATGCAAGAAATGTTTGTACAACAATGGTATCCTTTTCTTAATAATGGGAATCAAATGTATGGATTAAACAATGATCAGCAAAAGATATTACTATGGGCTCACCTGAGGACATGGACTTTACTAGAGTTCCCTTTTCTTCTTTACCATAACATGGCTTTATCTACTAATGTCATTGTACAGTTGTAAATTTATATATGTTTACAATAAAGAAATTTAAAACACGTTCTTCAACCGTCTGAGATGGTATATTTATAAAATGTTCTCTTGTTTTTGATCAGATAAAATATTTTGTATTAAATGTGTTCTGATTTGCCTTGCTCAGAGACTTTGAGGCCTGGAACCTCTTCACTACAAGGGTACACAATAGTAATTCACTGCAGAAGACCAAAAGGCTTTGGGGGGCCTAATATCCAGGAAATCTTAATCCCCCTCACCGCGTGTTACAGATAGATGAAGTCTTGGTACAGAACGAAAGATATCTGAGCCAAGAATAATCTCTTCTGTGAATGCTGAGACTACAAACACTCTGCATGTTTCCAGGGTGCTTGTCTCTCACTATAAAGAGCACACATCACCACATATACTGAGGCTGAATTTCTAGGCAGAAGGGTGCGATTTGCAGGCTGGTGCAATTATGGAATGTTCCAGCACCGATTCATTATTTTCTCCCCTTAGGGATCCCAAGTCCCCCCAGGGGGCGGGGAAACCCCCGCCCTAGAGGCCCGTTCCCCTTTTTTTTCTCCCCTGGAAGTGACGCAACCACGCCGGGCACGCTGGGGGCGGGGCCACGGCCATCCGAGGGAAAACGCTATGGTTTGCCTTTGTATGGCCGTGGCCCCCGCCCCCAGCGTGCCTGGCGTTGTCACGTCACTTCCAGGTGATGTGCGTGCGGCGCGTGCACCAGACGCCAGCCTGGAGCTCCCCGCTCCTGGCGAAGATCAACTTTGCAACCCTATCCCCCCTGCCCCTCCGCCTTCCAATCATAAGAGATGGGGGGGGTTTATAAGAGGGAAGCCATTGCCAACAGTGTGACATCACTTCCATGGAAAACCCAGAAGTGATGTCATGCCTCTCTAGGAATCACCAAAAACTCTGTTCTAAAACCATAGAGTTTTCAGTGAAAATTTCTAGAGGGAAACATGTTATGTCATACATCTCTAGGAATCATTGGAAATTCTGTGGTGTTACCATAGGGTTTTCAGCAATTCCTAGAGAGGTGTGATGTCATTTCTGGGCTCCCCCCAAAGAGACTTCATGCAATAGGCCTGACAGCCTTTGTTGTTGTTGTTATTTTATCTTCCTGTCACCTCTGTGGGAAACAGGAGCCCCTGCCCCAACTCAGGGACCGGCAACCCTGATCTTAACCCACCACCACCACACAAACACACACATCAATGCCTCATGTCCTGCAGCATCTCTTCGATGAAGAATAGAGGCACATAGAACTCCTAATATGATTATTATTTTGTGATTTCTGGACTTATTACAGTTCCACCGGGCCTGTAAAACGGAGCTGTTCCACCAGGCCTTCGGTTGAGGCAAACAGACATCCAATCACATGTCCTCCTGTGCAAAGCAGCCCAACTGTATTTGCCCGTGATTACCATCTATCCATCTGCTGAGGCTAATATAGAAATGCATGTCACCATTCTTAGCTAACTTCATTTAATCTAAATTCGTTTTCAATTTAATGTTTTAATCTTTGACAACTGACTGTAATGTTGATGAAATTTTGATGTGACCCGCCCTGAGCCCGCTTGGGGGAGGGGCCAGATACAAATGCAATAAGTAATTATCAGCGAATCCCTTTTCCCTTGACAGGTGATGGTAGCCCACCTCAGAGAGATGTGGCTGTCTGAAGATCTCTTTTTTTGTGTGTGTATTAATTTTCTTATTTTTAATATAAAACAAACACAAACAAACAAACAAACACAAAGATGACCTGCAAGGTCCCTTCCAACTCTAACATTCTATGAGTCTATAAGCCAACAAACATAAACAACATTCAGGTTGGGGGCTACATATATCTTCTGGTTATATCTGTTACAATATCTCCTACATTGTATAGCTGTACATTAATCGGCTTTTATCACCATATACTTACATTTAAATGTTCTGCATTATAGTTAAGACTAAATTCTACATTGTCTCCAAATGAGATTATACATCTACATTGTTCATTTACTGTAATCTTCGAACCATTTATAAACTCTTGACCGTGTACTCTGAAATCTCCCTTCTTGACCTCTCAAAAATAAGGTCACTTTATCCATCTCATAGGAGGTCTTAGGAGGTCTACTCAGAAGTGAGGCCCATGTTACTCATTGTGGCTTACTCTGAAGAAAGGATCCTCAGGATTGCGGCTGTGAACATGCACTCCTGGCTCTTCACCTATGGTTCAACCGTTCAGGATATTTCCATTCAGCTAAGGTTCCTGCCAACCCAGCAGTTCGAAAGCGAGAAATTGCAAGTAGATAAATAGGGACCACTTCGGTGGGAAGGGAACAGCGTTCCGTGCGCCTTGGTGTTTAGTCATGCCGGCCACATGACCACGGAAACGTCTTCGGACAGCGCTGGCTCTTCGGCTTGGAAACGGAGATGAGCACCGCAACCCTAGAGTCGGACTCGACTGGCTTACGAGCAAGAGAACCTTAAGGTTCCTTTGGGCATCTACTCTGGGGTGCTTTCACACACACTCTGGGCCAGTGACTTCAGAGCAATATTCTAGGCAAGAGATCAGGGCATTACTGAAATTACATTAACTCCTTCCCAGCCAAACCCCTGATCCATATTCCCAAAACTCCAGCCTCACAGGTGGCACGGCACACCCGGGCTACTTCTAACAACAGCCTTACATAGAAAGAAACTGCCGGGGTGGGAAGAAGCTTTACCTGCTATGTTTCTACAAGCAGTGCATCTGTTAAACAGGCCCCGGAGTACGGCCAGGAATTAAAGGTGGCGAATCAATGTTCCCTCTAAGCTGTGGAGTCTTGTGAGCAAAAATTTTACTTTGTGAGCTGCTGCCATTAAAGTTGTGAGCCTGAGATTCGGCCACTGTGTAAATTAATTTGCTCTGGAGTCATCCTTCCTGAGCTGAGACAAAAATGTGTGAGCCGGAGGCTAAAAAACTGTGAGCTAGTTCACACTAACTCAGCTTAGAGGGAACACTGGTGGCGATCCATATCCAGAAGGAGTCTGTCTGTCTGTAATATACTCTGCCATGACCACGTGCGCGACCATGCGAAGTCCTGAAGCTTCACTCCCAGAGAACAATAGCCGAGCGGATCCTAGCCCGCACCTATCAGAGGGCCGGGTCCGCAGCCGAGAGGCCACTGTACATAGCCTATAGGGCAGTAGTGGGTGTGTTTTGGTGGTGGGTTTTCTGGGCATATAAACCAGCGAGCCGGCTGTCTTTTGTCTTGCTCCTTCTGAATAAAAGTACTTTGCTGAAATCACTCAACGTTTCTCAGTACTTTTCACTGTCCATCGGGTTGCCAGCCTCCAGGAGGGACCTCACCTGTGGATCTCCTCGAATTACAACTGAAAACTCCAGACTAGAGATCATTTCCCGTGGGGGGGGGATGGCAGCTTTGGAGGGTGGATTCTATGGCATTACATCCCTCTAAGATCCCTCCCCTCCCTAAACTCTGCTTTCCCCAGGCTCCAGCCCGCAAATCTCCAGGAATCTTCCCAACCCAGAGCTGGCAACTCACGAGAGGGCACTGTTGGCTGTTCTCTCGTACGAAGGACTGGATGCCCCGGCTCCAATTCCCTTTGCTAGTATTAAAAGCTCAGGAGCGCTAATGTTCCTTCAGATTCTACACTGCAATAATGATAATAACAGCCACAGAACTGAGACCCATGATGGTACACAAGGAGCGAGGGAAGCAGTCACACAACCCCTAAGGAAATCCGTGCAGCTGGGCAGCCCCAGCTCGACGCTTTGCAGACGTCCCCTGGCGAAGCTCAGCGGCTTCCTTCTCGCAGGATTATCGCCTTGGCTCCTCCTTCCCGCTCTCTTCGAAGATGGCTGCGGTGGCCACTTCCTTGGCAGCCCGCTGGGGCGCTTCGGGGACGCGGATGCTGCGCTCCTGGCATCGTTCTGCCTCCTCCTCCTCTGCGGGATGGGCAGGTGGGTGCGAATGGTCTTTGGGGGCACCTCTGGCGTGCGCAGAAGGGAGGTCTTACAACAGGTCTGAGATGAAGTTTCAAGGGGTTTATTAGCCTCCTTCTCGGGGGTCTTTGTGGAAAGGACTGGTGGGAAGGGAAGGACCGAGGAGAACAGGCGATTTTCTGCTGGGTTTCAGGAATGCTTATGCCAGCAGCTCGATTTGCCAACTCTGCGTTCCGAGATACCTGGGAGGGTGGGGTCTAGGGAGGGGTAGGGTATAAGGCATACAGTCTACCTTCCAAAGCAGCCATTTTCTCCGAGAGAAGTGGAATAATTTTTAAAAAATAAATAAGTAATCTATTTAGTTTGTAGACCAGCCAAAATTCTGGGAGATCTTCAGCTCCCACCTGGAGGTTGGCAACCAAGCCTCTTTACTCCCATATCTCTCAGCTTGACCATATGGCATCCATCAGGGGCAGCCAAACTTTGCCCCTGGGACCGAGCTGAAGCCAGGGTGCGTGGGGCTGTCCCACCAGGTTTTCCTCACCCAATTGTTTTTTTAACGGCTTTTAATATTTGATTTAGTGGCTCCTGTGTAGAGTGTAGAGAGAGCTCTTTTTTTCTGAGAAGAGGAACATTTCTGATTAAAACTCAGGGATGGTAAATTTGTGACCCGATGGCTTCTGTTTGAGAGACTGAGCTTTTTTTCCTGGATTGGTGACTAAAGGGAACCTCCACGTTCAGAGGCAGTCCACCTCTGAATCCCAGAGCCAGGAGGCAACATCAGGGGAAGGCCTCATCCTCTCTGCCCCGTTGTTGGCCCTTCAGAGGAACTGGTTGGCTGCTGTGTGGGACTTTATGCAGCAGGGCCCTTCTTATGTTCGCAAACAGAAACATTTGGTAAATACTGCTCTCTAAGAACAAAGAACATCCACCCATCTGTGCCACCCCACCCGCAATAGTTGATTTTTGAAGATGTCTCTCGTTCTTATGGTAAAGTGATCCTGAAACAGCCCTTCCCTTTCCTTCCCCCCATTAACTATCATCGTTTTGAGCAAGGTGGGGTGGTTGAGGTAGAATGGGGTTACCTCCTTTCCTCTCCAGCACTTTCCGAATAGAAATGCTCACATGCATCCCTATTGCTCTTTGCCTCCAGAGGGCACCTGCTTCGAGTCCAGTAACACATTAGAAACCAACAAGGTTTTGGGGGTATAAGCTTTCGAGAGGCAAAACGTCCTTCGTTAGATACTGATGGAGTTTTGAGTCTTGAAAGCCTATACTCCCCAAATCTTGTTGGCCTCTGAGGTGTGACTGAACTCAAATCTAGTTCTTCTGCTGCAGACCAACGGGCTATCCCTCTGTTCACGTTTGCCTCTATTTTAGCAGCACTGAGAACCGATTGAGGGGGTGTACGTGCCGATTTCTACTGGGGAGATGATAGAACGTTTAGAACATTAGAATCATTATAAAATGCGTTCAGGAAATCTGGTCACGAATTGTGTATTTCTGCCCCAAGTCTTGTTTTAAAGAAATGGGACCCCATAAAAGAGTACCCCAGGAGTGGATCACTGCTACTGCTGAGGAAAGTGAGGTGTGTTGAAACACCCTTAACACAATTTAACAACCAGTTTTTCCTCACAAAGGATGTGTCACTGGGACAATAAGTTTAAAGAGAGAAAGGAGGTGGCCGTGTGGTGTCAGGTTGCCAAACTTCTTGGTCATGCTTGCTTGATACCTCCTTCCACTGTCCGCCTTGCAGAGGATCTGCTTCGCCACATGGACCAGCGCGACACCTGGGACCGCTTCTATTCTGAGAAAGGGGCTAGCGGCCCCCAACATTTTGACTGGTTCTTCGGCTACAGAGACGTCTCGGGATTGCTGCTGTCCACCCTTCAGGGTCTGCCCTCTGGTGAGGCCCGAATCCTGGACGTCGGCTGTGGCACTTCAGCCTTGGGCCTAGGGCTGTACCGAGACTCACCCCGCCAGCTCCACGTTTCTTGTTTGGATTTCTCCCCTCTGGCCCTAGACTCCCTGCGCCAGCTGCTCTGGGACAGCCCCCCACCGCGGCACCCACTTTCCCAGCTGTGCTGCCATCTAGCCGACGCCACTGACTTGAGGGACACTTTTGAATCGGGCTCTTTTCTCCTCGTACTTGACAAGGGGACCTGTGATACGCTCCTCCGGTGCCCCCGAGGGCCAGGCCGAGCCAAGCAATTAGTGGCAGAGTGCCTGAGGGTCCTGAGGCCTGGGGGCAAGCTTCTTCAGTTCTCTGATGAGGACCCAGACGCCAGGGTACCGTTCCTGGAACAAGCCGGCGGTGTGGATGTCACCGTAACAGAGGTCGGGCACATTAACGGTGTTTGCTACTACGTCTATACACTTGTTCAAAGGCTCCTGGACTCAACTGATAGCAGGGAGCAAAGTCCACAAGGAAAAGGACTCAAAAGTGGACCTGATGGTTTGGATTAAACCCAATGCGGTAAGAAGAGTTGAAGTTTTAATCTGGAGAGAAGTTTGAGGAATACGTCTGTGTTCAAAGCACCTGGGAAGTGGTTACTGCCTGGGCATTGGACATGGCGGGTTGATCTTTTCTCGGGATCAGTAGGAGTCTGTGTGTGCTTGCTGGCTTGCTTGCTTCCCACCTGCTCAGCCTGTACATTTGTAAGTAAACTGTTGAAAACAGAAAGCATTGGGCCTCTTCCAAAGGAAACTGATGCTGTGTAAAGGGCTGCTACTAGGAACTTCCTGCTGTCTAGGGAAGTGGGAACACAAGACACTCTGGGGCCTTGGATCCATATCACTGGGTAAAGGGTGGAAGTCAGAAGTGACCGAGGAGGCAGCCCTTTTCCCATGGAAACCATCGTAATGGGGCTTAAAGAGGATCCACAGATGCTTCCCTGCTGGTTAAGTCCCCTTTAATTCCACATTAATGCAATAAACACAGGATGGAGGCAAAGCTCCGTGCACTTTGGGCTAGGACTAGAGAAAGCATCTGTGCAGAGGGAAGCTGAATTCTGAATCCTGTAGGAATTATGCAGATTGGCATGATTTAACTTCCTTTGCACTGTTCCGGTTTTGCTCCTCACGAGGGGAGGCAAGGATCTAGGACCAGGCCCTGACGTTCCAGTCCTCTTGCTGTGAAGATGGTATCAGGAAGCTGGTTTTTTTCCAGGCCAGTTTGGCTGGAGATCCTGGAGATTTTTTTAAATTTAATTTTATTTTAATTTTATAAGCCTGATTAGCCAGGAGTATATTATTCTTTACCATATAGTCTAACACTGGGGCCCAAATCCTAACAAATTTAGTGTAAGTAGGAGTATTGCTGTTATTCGCTCTCATCAGGGAATCCGAAATTTTAGCCATTACGAACTGATCCCATATTTTCTCTTGCCATGCCGAAATTGTGGGAGGGGAAGAAGATTTCCAAGCCACTGCAATTGTTAACCTGGAGATTTTTTGACATCTTCTGGGCATGGAACAGCGGTCGCTGGGGTTGTGGAGGGGGAGGTATTTGTGAATTTCCTGCATTGTGCAGGGGTTGGACTGGGGGGGCTTCTAGTGTCCTGGCCCCACTGCTGGACCTCCTGATGGCACCTGGTATTTTTGGCCACTGTGTGACAGAGAGTGTTGGACTGGATGGGCCATTGGCCTGATCCAACATTGGCTTCTCTTATGTTCTTATGATGACCCTGGAGGTCCCTTCCAACTCTATGATCTTTCAACTTCTCAGTGAGGAGGGTCCAGTGGTTTGGCCCTGCGTTGCATGCAGAAGGGCCAAGGTCCAGTCCTTGGCACCTCCAGTTAAAATGGATCTTTAGCTCTTGGGGATTGGGAAGGACCCTTTTTGGCCTGAGACCTTGCCTGGGGAGCCACGGCTGGCCAGAGGAGATGGCAATAAACTGGGCAAGGCAATGGCCCACCACACTCTCAGGCAGCTTTGGCTCTCTTTTTCTTTTCTGCGATTCCTTCAGGCAGTGTCCAGGAGGTTTCGGGCATCTCTGTGGGAACTATTTAGCTGTCTGAGCGTCTTTTTTACTTAATATTAAAGCAAGGTTCTATTCCGCTAGACTGGAAGGACCTGGCTTTCACGTCACATGAAAGCACAGAGTCTCAGGAAGCTGAATTCTGTGTCCTGTTATACCACAGCCTGCTTTTTTTCCTCTCTGTCGGCCTGAGCACCAACAAGTCCAGTAAATACATTGACAGGAACAGGGAAGGACCCTGCCTCTGCTGGGTAACCACTGCTGTCTCTTCCACAAACAGTGGCTTTGCAAGGAAATCACCACATCGAGAATGCAGCAGAAGCCATTTTATTTGTACAGAAGTGTCTGAACGCCAAGTAGCTCTGGGAACTTGGTGGGCGCGCGCGCATCACAACCACTATGCTGTGTTAGTTCTCTAGATACTTCTCTTCTGAGAAACAGACACTACAAGGCCTGCTATGGTCTCCGGTAACACGAGAAGCTATTGCCACTCCCCACCCCACTCCCACCACCAGTAAGTACATAAGCACTGCTAGCTCCCACTGAGGGTCCATCTAACCCAATCAGGCAACAGCACCCCCAGCAACTAAGAATCAGAGGTAAAGGTTCCCTTGCTCGAAAGCCAGTTGAATCCAACTCTAGGGTTGCGGTGCTCATCTCCGTTTCAAAGCCGAAGAGCCAGCGCTGTCCGAAGACGTTTCCGTGGTCATGTGACCGGCATGACTAAACACCAAGGCGCACGGAACGCTGTTACCTTCCCACCGAAGTGGTACCTATTGATCTACTTGCAATTTCTTGCTTTCGAACTGCTAGGTTGGCAGGAACTGGAACTAGAGACGGGAGCTCACTCCGTCATGCAGCACCCTGGGTCTCGAACTGCTGAACTACTGACCTTCCACAGCCTGCAGTTCAGCGTCTTAACCACTTGAGCCACCGCAGCTCCAAGAATCAGAGGTAGACTGCCCCTAAACATGAAGGATCCATGCATTACATATGTTTTCATTTGTTAACTGCCTTGGTGGCCCTTATGAGGGCAGAAAGGCAGGGTATAAGTTCTGGAAAATAAAAATAAATGAATTTAGCTGTCATGGCGAACAGCTGTTGATAGATCTGACGGCCATACTAGCATCACGGTGTGCTCCTAAGAATACTGTCCTGGGAGTAAGCCTCGCTGAATAGACCTGAGTAGGCTTCGGATTAGGCCTGCTTAGGGTGGCACTGAATATTTCAGCATTCTGTTTTGAATGCCAGGAAGCCCACAAACAGGGCATGAAGACTTCTCTGGCTTACCCCCCACCCTTGAATACTCAGAGGTCATCTACCAGTGAACATGGAGGTGGCCACTATTCACACAAGAAACCCAAATTGCCCCCGGCCTTCGTGGAGGATTGTTTTGAAGATGAGTACAATGATGCTTCCTTATTAAGCGATAACTTACTATGTTCAGCTGTGGGAACCACTTAGGGATCCTGCTAAGGGAGTAGGAAGAACAGCTTGGGTCCCGCCTAAAATCTGAGCAGGTGGAAGGGTTTTTGTCTGTGGGGCATGTCTGACACTCCTCCCCGCTCCTCCTGCAGCCAGAATTCCCTCAAAAATGCTGCTCCTGGGGAACAAGTTGAGGATGGGAGTCGTACGTCTGCTGTTCGAGGGAAGGAATCAGCTACAATCCTTCTCCCTCCACATTTTCCTGCAGGATTAAAGTTAATATTTACCACGCCCCTCCTTCCCCAGGTATTTTTTAACGAGGGTGCATCCTCCTCATTCTCTCAGCAAAATTTCCTAACGAATTGTGGTAAATTAGCCCTTGATGAACAATTATAGACATTATAGACTTCGATGTCCTTGCCACAAAAAAAAAAGTTGCCAGAATGTGTGTGGTGGTGGAACGTAACCCGGAAACGTGACAGGGACCAACTGCATAGATAATGGGAGAAGATCTTGTGCAAGTGAGAAAAGTTTATTTTCACTGTACAGTGCTACCAACATAGGGGGCCTTAAGCCATTTGTTTAAAGTCCCTGCCCTGAGGAGTTTACAATCTGTCTGTCTATTGCATTTTATCCCGCCCGTCCTTCAAGCAGCTCTCGTCCCTTCTCCATTTTATCCTCAGAACAACCCTGTGAGGTAGGTTAGGCTGAGAAGGTGACTGGTCCAAGGTGAGCCAACGAGCTGCGTGGCAGAGTGGGGATTCGAACCTGGGTCTCCCTCAGTCCTAGTCCAGTACTCTAACCCCTATACCACATGGTTCCATCTAAATTTTGATATGGCGGGGGAGGGAACTGGAGGTAGCTGCAACAGGGAAAGATACAACACAGAGTTACATCTACACGGCCTTTGGTGCAACTGAGGCAAGAAGTAAAAGGAGACGCTTAAGTCGCCATGGGAAAAAAGCGGTCTGGAGGAAAAGAATATAGGTGTTCCAGGGGCAAAATCAGGCATGGCATCCACCTTAAAAGCCTCTCATCTCGTTTGCCAAAATGAAGTTCCTGTAATCTTGTTGGAACCCTCCCTGCCGGCTGCCATTTCTTTGGCCCTCCTGCCTGCTGGGTCATTCCCCTCTTCCATGGCAAAGCCCAGGAGCTCTGATCCTCCAGCTGAGAGTTCAAGGAAATGTCTGGAATTACAAAAGTCTTTTTGCCCCACCGCCCCCTGCTTCCCACGCTCCCCGGTCTCCATCCGTCCCACGAACGCCTCAGACGGTCTTACAGAAGCACCTCCTCCAAGTCGCTTTCGAAAGAGGACAGCCCTGAAAACACAGAACAGAGGAGGGAATTACAGAGAAGCGACAAACCTGAATGAGCTGCTGAGCTGTTGCAAAGGATTCTGGGATGTATTCAACAATGTGCTGCCAGGCTGGGCCTGTTAGGCCAAGGGTTGCTTGCCTCCAGGTGAGGCATGAAACTCTCCCGGAATACAAACGATCCCCAGCACCTACTCTGTTTATTTGTTTAATGTATAAAACATTTATTTCCTACCTCCTTCCCCTACCCACATATGGGCTCAAGACAGCTTGAGTTGCCAACCTCCAGGTGGTATCTGGAGATCTCCCGCTATTACAGTTGATCTCCAGATGACCAAGATCAGTTCCCCTGGAGAAAATGGCTGCTTTGTCCCCTGATGAGGTCCTTCCCCAAACCCCACCTTCACTAAGCTCCGCCCCTAACCTCTCCAGGTAGGGATAACAGCCTCCAGGTGGGATTTGGGGATCCCCCGGAATTACAGCTCATCTCCAGACTACAGAGAGACATTCCTGTGGAGCAAAAGGATGCTCTGGAGGGTGAACTCTATGGCATTGTACCCAACTCAGGTCCCTGTCCTCCCAAGGCACCATCCTTAAATCACTAGGACTTCCCCAACCTGGATCTGACAACCCTACCCCCACATCCCCCACTGGTGGCCAGGGCAGACCTAGCAGACCTATGTCCAGGAATTTCCTGACCTGGAGCTGGCAACCCAACTTCCATTCCATATTGATAGTCCATATTGATATTGATAAAAGCAACAATTTTTCTTTAAAAAACCCCAAAACCAATGGGCTGGATCTTGCAGACCTGCTGCTGTAATAGCCACAACTTCTGTCAGTGTAATGATCCTTCCCCTGTCAGAAGCGGCTGTTCCATCAAAGGAAGGCTCCTGACTCCTGAGAAAGGCAACGCCGTTTGCAGAACGG